TCAACAAAAAAAAGGAAAAAAATAGGGGCGGGGATGGGAGGGGGAATGGTCAAGACTTCTTCTTACATTTGAATTTTGAATAGCAGTAGAAATTTTATTATAATTCTATCTATAAAAGAAATGCTAATAATTAGGATTTTAGTTGATTTTGAGATGATTATCAAAACTATGGCTTCAATTCGGTTGTGAAATCTGAGATCTACGAGGTGTCAAACCTAAAAGAAATGTGAAGCTTCTCCCTTCTATTTTTCTTTCTTTTTCTCTTTAATTGCTCATCTCAAATCCCACTCTAAATAGCTTAAATGCATCTTTAGATCTGTCCCTCATCAAAGAAGCTTAAGGGATACTGAAAAATTTAGAGATCCTGGTGATCTACGAACAAATTTCAGCCTGCAGATTGGGAATAATAAGTTTCGATCACGTGTGGACAACACGGTGAAGAACAATTGAAAGAAGCAAGTCAAGAAATAGCAATGCAGGAAAAGGATATTCATCGTCCAGAAGTAGGGTAAGATAGAAAATGACATTTATAGTCAACTATGTATAACAAATTGCATTTTCAAGTCATTTACAGATTTACTTGCAGAGAAAAAACATACCTGAAAATGCTTGTTACAAGCATTCCAACGAATATAACATTTACAGGCAACCAGACTCGAATTAATCTCCATGTAAGTGGTTCTGTAGAGATTACGCCCAACATACTTAATGTGGAAACAATGACCACTGACACAAGATTCTGCAACCACAAAGACATTTATATCTTTGTCATTTAACATTTTTTTCAGATATACATGCGGTTTACTAAATTACACAAAAAGACAACACCGTGTGCTTTAATCCACCAAAAAATATCAGTTTTTATGTGACTATGAGATGAGAAACTTCACCTGGTAAAGCATCAAAGAAATCCCAGCATTAAAGTCATAGCCAGAGAGCACAAATTTATTAACCAAGATCATGCTACATGATGATATGCAATATGCAAAGCCAGATAAGAGAGCCTGATTTTGGATCTTCACAGGCTTGCGTAAAATTTTGTCTCTGCCCTTTTCCAAGTCGCCATCTTCCAAGTCAATGTCATCATGCACAGGATATTTTGATCCAGAAAATGATCTGTAAAGTGAAAGTACCACGTTGAAATCCACAATGTCTACTGAGAAGTATTTAGAGTTACATCGTGCTTATAATATGAAGTGAGAAAATCAGCAAATCACCAAGACGGCAGCTAGAACGATGAACAAAAACAAAATCCAGACTATAAAAAAACAAGTAGGGTAAGGAATCATGCAGTCAGAATCAATATTCAATCCTTAACATAAAGAAAGTAGAATATATCATGAATTAAAAGATAAAAATCAATATGAAATTAGTCCTTCTGTTGCAGAATACTAAAAGATAAATAGGGAATTGTCTATGTTGAGGATTCGAAACAATCAAATCGAACCCTTGCCCTTCCGGACCTTGTGTTGAAAGTAAAAAAGTAGGAAAATTCACCCCAAATAAAGATCAAAAACTTGCAGAAATAATAAAGGAGACGCACACACAGATTTAACAAGATTCGGCAACGTGTCTGCATCCTCGGGAACCACACCACACAATTCTTTTGATTAATTGAAGAAGAAATACAAGCTCTCAATCTAGGGTTTTATCTCTCTGAGATTCTTTCTTTTTCTGTTGTCAAAAACTCTCTTTTTTCGTGTGTATACAAGCCCTAAAAACGTTTAGGTATATATAGAGTCCTGAAAGAAACAGAATCCAAAACAGTTTAGGAAACTGTTTGACAGCGTCGTGGTCGACCACGCAGGTATCGCGGTCGACCGCGGCGGTCGATCGAACCACTTTCGCGAGAGCAGAAAACATTAGTGTTGTGCGGGTCTTTGAGTGACGCGCCACCGGTCCGATCCCGAGACTGATTTCCCGAGACCCGAAAAATTCCCTAAAATATATCTGCGTTGTGCGGCGGTTCGATTGACCGCGTTCTTCAGCTCCAGACCATAGCTCCCAGCCTCTTGTTCCTCCTGTTTTTCTCGATTTTTTCTCCCTCGTTCTGATTCCAGCTTCGGTTTTAACTTTGGGTCTACACTTTAGACTAACAATCTCCCACTTGGAGACCAAAGTACCATCAGCAAGTTCACCCAAACTCTCCCCTTCTTCGCATGTATCTTCTCCTCCCTAGAAAAAATCCTTTATTCAATCAATAATATCCCGGCGATCTCGTCGATCCTCATAGTGCGGCTCCGTCTTCGTCTTCTACTCGTGAAGGTCAACTGAAGTTGCGCACAACTCCAGTTTCTCAATGGTGACTGCCTTCGCCAACATGTTCGTCGGATTTTGACTCCCTAAAATCTTTATTAAGTGTAATTTTCCGTCTTCAACTAACGAGCGTATAAAATGGTATTTGACGTCGATGTGTTTCGTTCTGACATGATATACTAGATTTTTGGCAAGATGTATAACGCTTTGACTATCACAATAAAGAACCCCTCTCCCTTACTTCAGATCCAACTCTTCCAAGCGCACGTTCAACCAGATCATTTCCTTACTTGCTTCGATCACCACGACATACTCAGCCTCAGTTGTAGATAAAGTCATAATCTTCTGCAGACATAAGACCCAGCTCACTGCTGTCGACGCTAAGGTATAAACATACCCCGTGGTGCTTCGTCTCGTATCATGATCACCGACGAAGTCCGCATCCACTTATCCCTGCAGCAATAACTCCTTTCTCCTGAAACATAATGGTTTGTTCGTTGTTCCCCTCAAGTACCGCAATATCCACTTCACGGCCTCACAATGTTGTTTTCCTGGATTGCTAGCAAACCTGCTCACAACTCTCACTACATGGGCGACGTTCGGCCTCGTGCAAACCATCGCGTACATGAGACTCCCAATGGTCGAAGAATATGACACTCTGCTCATATGTTCTCTATCTGCATCTGTTTTAGGTGATTGATCCCCAGATAGTTTGAACTGACTTTCAAGGGGCGTGCTAACAACTTTAGCATTCTGCATGTTGAACCTCTGAAGTACCTTCTCAATGTATTCAGCTTGGCTCAATCTCAACGTCCCTTCAGCTTCATCCTTACTGATTCGCATCCCTAGAATCTGTTTTGCTGCACCCAGATCCTTCATTGCAAACTCCTTTACTAGCTGCTTCTTCAAACTGTTTATATCTTCTAAACACGGTCTTGCTACCAACATATCATCAACATATAATAACAAGATAATGAAGCTGGACTCGAACCTTTTGAAATAGCAGCAATGATACGAATTGGATCTTCTGTAGTCATTGTTTTGCATGAAGTTATCAAACTTCTTGTACCACTATCTCGGAGTCTGTTTCAAACCATATAAGCTCTTCTTGAGCTTGCACACCATCTTTTATTTTCCTTCTTCAATAAATCCAACAAGCTGCTTCATATAGATTTTTTCATCTAGGTCACCATGAAGAAAGACAGTCTTCATATCTAACTGCTCAAGAAAGAGGTTTTCTGCAGCTATCAAACTCAACACCACTCTAATGGTTGTGAGCTTCTCAACAGGAAAAAATATCTCCATGTAGTCCACTCTTTCCCGCTGTTGAAACCCCTTCACTACCAATCTGACCTTGAATCTCTTGCTTCCATCACTCTCCTGTTTGACCCGATAGACCCATTTGTTATGTAAGGCCTTCTTCTGTGCAGGTAGCTGGGCTAACTCCCATGTCTCATTAGTGAGAAGAGAATCCATCTCCTCCTGCATCGCATGCTCCCACTGCTGAGATTCACTCACTTGCATTGCCTCCTCATAGCATTCCGGTTCACCGCTATCTGTCAATAATAACTAATAAGTAATCAAAAGATGAAACATATCTGAGATTTGGTTTGGGTGTCCTGGATGACCTCCTAAGCTTCACGCCTTGGATAGTTGCTTCTGCACCTGGAGCCTCCTCCATTTTATGCTCAGAACAAACATCATCATCCCTATCTGAAAGTTCCTCTAAATCCATATACTCGGATCCACCTGCATCCGTAGTGCTGCTCCCACTGATTTGGCTATCCTTGGTATTTTTCTTGTTCTTGTACATCACCTCCTCATTGAATATCACGTCCCTGCTTCTGATGATCTTCCTATTCTTCTCATCCCAAAGACGATACTCGAACTCATCAATATCGTATCCAATGAATGTGTATTTCTGTGACTTAGCCTCTAACTTGTCTCTGATATGGTCACTGATATGAACATAAGTCACGCAACCAAATACCCGTAAGTGTGAGATTTATTTTTTTTCCAATCCAAATCTCCTCTGGAATCCCAAAATCCAATGGAACTGATGGTCCGTGATTAATAAGGTAAGTTGTTGTATGTACCGCATCCGTCCAAAATGTCTTAGACAGACCTGCATGTAATCGTATGCTCCTGACACGCTCCGTCAAGGTTCTGTTCATCCTCTCTGTAATGTCGTTCTGCTACGGCATCCCTAGAGTAGTCCTCTCTAAACGAATATCATTCGTAGCACAGAACCTCTTGAACTCCTCCAGTTTGTATTCTCCACCATTATCCGATCTCAGACACTTTACTTTCAGATCTGTCTCGTTCTCCACCATGGCTTTCCACTTCTTAAAGACTCCGAACACCTCTAACTTGTGCTTCATGAAATAAACACACACCTTCCTCGATTGATCGTCGATAAAGGTGACATAGTATCTCGAACCGTAAAAAAAAGACACACTGACTGGACCCCATACATCTCTATGAATCAACTCTAGCTTCTGAGCCTTAGGTGACCTTTCATCCTTCTGGAAACTAACCCTCTTTTGCTTCCCAAAGATGCAATCTTCATAAACCCCGACTTCCACGGAGTCGCTCCCGGTTAGCTTTTCCTGTGAATGTAAGATCTTCATCCCTTCTCGCTAATGTGCCTTAGCCTGTTGTGCCACAGATCTGTACTCTCTTTGCCAGCTGTAATTGCGAGGGTATCACTCGCATATAAGGTGAGATAGAGAGTTTCTAGTTTGTTACCTCGAGTAACTATCATCGTACCGTTAGAGATTCTCCACGAATCCCCTGTGAATGTCGAAACATAGCCTTCTGCTCCAAGTTGTCCCACTGAAACAAGATTCCTCTTCAGCTTTGGCACGTGTCTCACGTTCTTCAAGATCCACTTAGATCTCTTCATCTGAATCTACACTTCACCCTTACCAACAACATTACATGGCTCGTTATTCCCCAAATACACTTTTCCAAAGTCCCCTGCTACATAATTTTAAAAAAACTTCCTGTTAGCAATGACGTGAAAAGAGGTTCCTGAATCGATGACCCAAGAATCCGAGTCGTTATCCATAGCAAGGATCAAGGCATCCTGCACAATATGAGCCTCTTGCTCACCCACATCCTTCTTTGGACTCTTGCAGACTGAAGACATATGACCCTCCTGACCATAGTTCCAACACTTTCTTTTAATAGGTCTAACCTTCGAATTCGACCTCTTCTTCACTGATTTCGCTCGATTCCTGTTCTGGTTTCCTTTCTTCTGGCTTCTGCCTCTCTGCTCGAAACTTTGAGCTGAACCTGAACCTTCTGATTCGGACGATTTATTTCTAACCTCCTCGGATAGAATCATGCTAACAACCTCACTCAGCTTTAATTTCTCTTTTCCAGCCGAATTGCTGATTGTCGTCACATAACATGCCCAACTATCCGACAACTGCGATAGAATCAATAGGGCTTGCACTTCGTCATCGAACGTGATGTCTACGGAGATAAGCTGATCAATAATCGTGTTGAACTCGCTGAGGTGCATCGTGAAGGACCATCCTTCTGCTATCTTGAGGTTGAAAAGAGTCTTGACGAGACGCACCTTGTTTGCTGTCGACGGTTACTCGTACATCTTCACGAGCACTTCCATAAGCCCCCCATCGTCTTCTCATTCAAGATATTGTGGGCTACTGATTTGATGAGCGACAACCAGATTTGCCCAAAGCCTTCCTATCCAGTATCTCACAATCATCATCTGACTCGTCTTTCTTTTTTCCCTTATCTTTGCCCATCAACGGGCGATACAAGTCCTTCTGGTACAGATAATCCTCTATCTGCGACTTCCAGTAGGCGAAGTCTGAGCCGTCAAACTTCTCGATCTTAGATTTGATTTTCTCTGGCATGATTTTCACACAAATTGCTGAACGAAACTCTGATACCAGTTGTTAGGGATTCAAAACAATCAAATCGAACCCTTGCCCTTCCAATCCTTGTGTTGAAAGTAGAAAAGTAAGAAAATTCACCTCAAATAAAGATCAAAAACTTACAGAAATAATAAAGGAGACGAACACACAGATTTAACGAGGTTCGGCAATATGCCTACGTCCTTGGGAGCCACACCACACAATTCTTTTGATTAATTGAAGAAAAAATACAAGCTCTCAAACTAGGCTTTTATCTCTCTGAGATTCTCTCTTTTTCTGCTGTCAAAAACTCTCTTTTTTTCGTGTGTATACAAGCCCTAAAAACATTTAGGTATATATAGAGTCCTGCAAGAAACATAATCCAAAACAGTTTAGAAAACTGTTTGATAGCGTCGCAGTCGACAGTGGCGGTCGACCGCGCAGGTATCGCGGTCGATCGCGACGGTCGACCGAACCACTTTCCCAAGAACCGCGCAGGTATCGCGGTCGATCGCGACGGTCGACCGAACCACTTTCCCAAGAGCAGAAAACATTACAGTGTTGGCGCGATCGACCGTCACAGTCGACCAAACTGATTCCTGAGACCAAAAATCCGTACAGGGTTGGCGCGGTCGACCGTCACGGTCGACCGTCGTGGTCGACCGCCTTTAGCTCCAGCCTCTTGTCAGCTTCTGTGCACGTTTGCGATCGACCGTCACGGTCGACCGTGCAGGCCTCCTCATGTTTTTCTCGATTTTTTTCTCCCTCGTTTTGATTCCAGCTTTGGCTTCAACTTTGGGTCTACACTTTAGACTAACAGTCTATGCCTTCTATATAAACTTTCTTTTGTTCTACAATTAAACTGCTTGATGTTACCTCAGTTGATTAATATCAGCGCACATAATTGAATAGAATGGACTCTTTATGAATAATCAGTATATTCAAGAATCAAAAGATACAATAACTCACCAAATTGAGGAACAAGAAAGCAAGAGAAGAGATCAAAGAAAATAAGAAATAGCTAATTCCTCAACAAGAAGTTATGAAATAAGATTCACCATCAAATAAGTAATGAATCAAAAGGAATAGCATTATCCATACATCAAGCTTTTAAACCCTTAACCAATAAGACCAACATCAATTTTGGTATCTCAACTACTGCAGGTAAATTTCTTAATTTTTGTTGAGAATCAAGAATTGTGAAACAATTTATTCACTCTTGAAAATCACATTCGAGAACTTCCAGCACTCAAATAGCCAGATGAACCAGATGGAATATTCCAGTTAAAATTACCAGAAGGGATTTTAGGAAGAACAAGAAACTAGTTATCATAATATCGTATTTTCACTCCCGTATACAGAAGCAGAGTGTGTATCTCGAAGAAATGGAAGACAAGACTCTACCAAGATAGATATTGAGTTAACAACAGGCACAAAACAACCGCAAGGCTACAGCGAACAGACGAGAACAGAAAACAACAGATTCACAGTGTTCGTACTGGTCAGGAAACAGGAACAACTCCAAAAGTACTAATATAGAATCACAAAGGATCATTTATTGTTGGAGAGTCATTTAAAATCGATGAAAAAAATTACTGCAAAGGCAGTTCTATCAAAAAGGGTGCATAAGAATTAGAAGCTTCTAAACCGTGATCTTTCAAAGAGGAGAGAGTTTATTGCGTCGGTAATAGGCTTTGAAAGCCATTATCCCACAATGACCGAACCAGTTACATCAAGGAAAGTCCAATTCTGTGGATCAACTACAGCCCAAGTACGCTGCATTCATGTATTATATTACCTTTAGTCCATGAAGATAAATGATGATGAAACTACTAGTCAAAGACATGAAGTCAAGAAATTTGAGGCAAATTCATAAATAAAAGAGCTGATTATAACATATTTGCTTGAAAAACAATGCCTGCTGCTAATTTTAGCTATAGAATAGAAAAGCTGACAGTGGTAATCAATGAAGAAAACTAGGAAGATGAAAGAAGAAAGATAGGTTTACTAAAAAAGACAAGGTTATTTGCAATTAAATACCCCAAACTTTACATCATTTTAACTTTCACCACCAAAGATTTTTTGCCTAAAAAATACCCCAAAGTTCAAAAACACTTAAAACATTAGTAACCCAAAATGACTATCAGGGGGTACCAAAGTTAATTTTATTTTTGAACTTTAGAGTATTTTTTTGGGCAAATTTTTTTTGGGGTGTCATAGTTAAAAATGGTAGAAACACCCACGTAGATGCAGAGAACCCAAAAGAAAAGAAAAAAGTAAAACCATATGATATGTTGGATAAAATTGTTGTTCGGTCCAAGTGAAGTATGCATGCCTGATAAAAATTTCTCTTTTCCCACTTCCTACAGGGCTTGAGAGAGGGCCTACCCCTCCATTCTGCTCACGATTTAACAAAGGACCTCTTTCTCCATGAAAGACTGAATCACTTGCATCTTCTGCCACAAGCCTTTCAACCACTGTTTTTGGTGAGTCTGAAGGAATAGATAATGCGAGACCCCTTGAAGATAAAAGCAAAAAGCAATTCATTATATGATTTGAATACAAGAAACTGTATCCAAAAAGATGACAGCCAAATGGTAAAAGATAATTCAAAGGTACAAATGGAAATACACTGACTGGTAAGCTACTGCAGAAACTACATTATAATATTTATAGCAGGAATATATTAAATTAGCAAATTTCAACTACATACAAAAAATATTTACAAAAGGAGGCATACTCATGTAAATATCATCACCAAGTCATAGAAAAAAATAGAATTAAACTAACAAATTTCAACTACATATAAATATTTACAAACTGGATTATGATATTTATAGCATAGAAGGCGTTACTACTAAATAAAAAATTAAAAAAGGTACAGTTTACCATGCACTGAGCTTCCAGAAGGAAGGATCACCAGAAGGAGAGAAACCAGCAATTTAAACTACTTAAACCAATAACAAAATACTTGAACATCCCAAGAACGATAAACAAACAAAAACATTAAAACATTTAGGCACTTCATTCGCCATTACTCTTACATTCCATTACATTTAACTCCATCCATGTAGACTTATCATTGGCCCAAAAACAAATCAAGCATCACATGGAGAGTAATCAAGCAATAATTCCCACTTTCCATGCAGGTTCGACCTTTCTCCATTTCAATCAGCATATATAATGCATATTGAATGATATGTCTATTTACTGAATATATTTCTTTTGCTAACTTGCCTCAAATGAGAACGTAACAGGCAGACATGTGCAAACTTGCAATCATGTGAAATTTGGTCCATATCTAGTTATGTGTTTGAGGCTAGAATCGTTCATTTTCTGATTCTACTCAAGTTATGGGTCCTATGGGAAAAGGGCTTTTGCTATTTCATACATGACTCTTTTTTAGGTCTAGAAACCTATTATCTGGTAAATAAGCCTCAATATTTGTTGACACTTATCACATATGAAGATACATACTATATGTTATTGTGCTACAACAATGGAAACAATCAAACTTAAGTAGCGGTGAATCTTTCTCATGATGTATTTTTTCCATCAATAAATGATGTTCACATCTAGTAAGCAGCTTCAATTGGCAAAAATCTTCCAAAGGATAGTCTCCTTATGTTGAAAGACACGTCTTATATTACTCTTTCTGGTTCTTTCCAGTGTGAGACTATACTGACACATGAGATCCCAGCAATTCTACCCTTTAATAATAACCTCAATCATTCACGGAAAAACATGGGCTCTCATGTAGATAATCATAGCCACCATTCATCACTCATTAATAAACCTGAATTTTGATCTAAACCCTCACACAATGGACTGATACATGGCTACCAACATCCACAAAATATCCACTGTATGTAGGCTAACCACACTTTAGTCACACCCCCGATTTATTGGGCTTCAGGATTTTGCTCTCTCTTGAACCACAACCTAAGCTTTGATATCAATTGTTGGAGAGAACTCAGATCTCTCAAGGAGTTATATGGATCTTCAACAGAGATTGGAAACAAATTCTACACAAAAACAAGGTTATTAGATATTCTCCCCAACTTTCAATTAATATCCGAATATGGGACTACATACTTAACGAAGAAAATCCTATCAGAACCAATTCTCCTTACTCAGGTTCATGTTTTGTGTAATTATTTGGACAATCATAAGCATCTTACAGACAACAGAACCCAGAATTTGAACCACACTTGAAATCCTATTAGACACAAAACTACCAATTTTCAACATTCTAGGGCTTTATCCCATTCAGACTCAATGTGTACTGTCTCTCCCTACTCTGCTACTAAATTGCATTCCATTTCCCTAACTAATTAAGATCCTCCTCAGTAATTAATTCTGCGATCACATTCATCAAGAACTAGGTTAGAGACTCCATTAGAAGTTGGTACCATCTCCTCCTACGAGCGTTTGGAGAATTGTTGTTTCACTGGAAGATCAGAAACTACCTACAAAGAGTGAAATTCCACTATATCACCTAAACAAGTGATTCTTCATTCAACTTAACAAGCTATATCAGCTCTTAAAGATCAAAATCAATTATCAATGTTATTCAAAAGCAATACAAATTCTCCCTTTAAGGGCATTATGTTCCACAACTAATAATCCCTGTAGCTACTTGTGAATCTTTATAGAACATTTCACAGTTGCAAATTGACACATAAAGTGGGATTTTCCTGCAAATATGCAAGATTAACTAGAAAACCCAGATGAAACCTCGTCATAATCAAAGCTTCAACCATCAAAATAAAACCCTACAGCTAACCAAATCCAAAAATCTCACATACCCATCTCCCCTTTTTTCTCAAATATTCTCAAAATCAAAGCAACAGAATGACGAAAGAGCTCACCTCGAATTCATCAAAGCTTAAAGGAACTCAAAGAGACCAGCTTTTGAGATTGAATGTTCAAAAAAAAATTCCAATCTTTGTGTGAGGGACGGGATCGTCTCCACTCTGTAAGGATCAGAGGTGATGATGTGGGCTTTTAATTCTGTTCAAAAAAAAACGGGTATTCAAACGGTCTACGGTATATATAACTACAAAATAAGAGAAATTTCCAAAAAAAAAAAAAATCGATGTTTTTTTTTCTTTTTTCTTTTTATCGTTAGGAAAAAGTCTATTTTCTAAGTCCGAGTCGGCTGATTTTGGGCGTGACCAGCTGATGCTAACGTGCACCGTAGGCTCTAGAGATTTGGATGGTGAAGTTGGGCGTTACTTACGAGACCGGTTGCAGGAAATTGGGTGCAAGGCAGTTCATTACTTGCCACGTGTCCTCATCATGAATAAAAAATGCATCCTAGCAAAATCCTCTTTTTCGCCATCATCTCAACGGGACGCGTTTCTCCTCACAAACTCTAGCCTCGTTTCAACGTGACGGGGAACATAAAAAGCTTTTGATTTCGTGTGAACCGTAGTTGCGTAACTGATTGGCACTAATAGTTTTGGCTAATCATCACTAAAATACCTCAAAGTTTCACCTATTTCTTTATTTATACACCCTCAATTGTATTTTGCCACACTTTCAAAACGTAAGGATGTCTTCGGCCGCTCAATAAAATCAGGTCATACTTGTTCCTTAAACAGGTTTTGGAAAGAACTGGTTTAGTTGTGGACCAGGTTTAAATCTGGCACAGTTTTAGAGAAATGCCAAACATACCTTAAAGTTTCTAAAATAGCACGGTAGCATCTTTGTAAGATAACAATTAGAATATCCTATTGAAGATTTGTGATACCTGCTTTATTTGTCTCACATCAAGAATTTATGAAAAGTATTAATGTGTTTATAAGGTGGATCATGAAGATCAAGTGTAACAATAACTAGTCAGTTTTGACTGTGTTACAAGCCATAGTACAAGTTGCATTTAATGGGTGCTAGGAGTCGCATCACTCTAACAACCTTCATAGCTCGAGGAGTAACAAAATTCTGATGTAATTGTTATGTAACAAATTCAAGGCTTTTGTACCCTTGAATATATTTTTTATTTTTTTTTTATTATTTTTTTTTTTTTTTGCTTTTCTTGCCCTCTAAAAAAGACAAGGTGGAGATGTTTATTTATCTAGGAGTCATCATCTTTTTACTGAGAACAGTGTCTATTAAATTGGAGGACACTTTGGGGTTTAAAAATGTGGCATAATACAAATGAGGATATGTAGGTAAATAGTGGGCAGAACTTTGAGGTACTTAAGAGTCAATTAGCCAATAATTTTTGTTAAGAACAGACAAAGCACTTTTATGGCTGCATACGTTTTCCCCCCTTTATTTGTTGAATCTTACTTGCGCATGAATCTCGCATTTGTATTGTCATTTACTCTTGATTAAAAGCTTGGGCATATCAATGACTAGCACCTTTACGTCAATTATAAATAAATTGGCTTTGACCCACCTTTATTTGTTGAATCTTACTTGCGCATGAATCTCGCATTTGTATTGTCATTTACTCTTGATTAAAAGCTTGGGCATATCAATGACTAGCACCTTTACTTAGTACAAAGGGGTTTTTCAATATTAGTCCCCCGTATCTTTCATATTTTGATATTAGTCCCCCCAAGTCCTAAGTATTTTGAAATTAGTCCCCCCAAATCGTGTATGTTAGAAATTTATCAAATAAATAAAGATTATAGCATGAATTTAAACCCGGAAATTAAATAAATAATACATCAAAGATAGATAATATAAATTAGAGAAACAGGCCTGACGGGAGCAGTCGTGTAAACACTGCCCTAGAAGATTGAGGACCCGCCTATCGCCCTGGCGCAGATGATCCCTTCTCCCCTAGCGGTAAAAACCCCCGGAAACGGCCCGGCCTCTGCACTCGGGCGAGAGTGCAGAGCTTCAGCTCAGATGAAGAAGTTGCCCATAAAGTAAAACTAAAGTATAGATGAAAATGATATGTAGAGGAGAAAAGAAAACAAGATAAGTTTTTCCATATTTTTCTTCATATTTCTTGAGCTCAACATATGTTGTTTATATAGGGGTTGAAAAGAGCCGTTACAAAATCCCTCAATAAATTTCGTAACGTTCGTCATAATGTATAGTCATTATGCCCATTTTAATTACAAATTAAAACACATTAAAACATATTTTAATTGCATATTTTAATTACAAAAATTTATTAGAATTCATTAAGGCAAAATTGCCTTTTCTTTAAAAATATCCAACAACAACTTAATTCTAGACCCAATTTCCTTCTCCATTCTCGCAATTGTTTTTCCACGTGAGCCTACTATCATACTTGTGAAATCGTAACCAGGATATTCTTTCCCAGGTATATAAATCTTTGTTTTGATCTTAGTGGCCTTTTTCCTCATCCATTTTTTTAATGCTTTTTGGCAGCTAGAATTATTTTGGGTCAACTTTTCGATGAATTTTTCCCTCTATTCCTTGAGTTTGCTGCGAAGCCTGACCTCCCTTGTATTTACTCTAATCGCAAAGTCGTCGTAAAGAGGTGGTGGAGACCTTTCACTCTCTGGTCGATAATCGACTAGTCTAGACTGCAGCTTTTTTGATATTTCAAAAAGTTGAGCAATCAATTTTGAAGTTTCTATATCATTAAGAGGAGGATTATTTGCGGTGGATGCCATGCTATATTGAGAATCATCATCGGATCATCTCGATTGCCGAGTTTTCCTCTTTTCTGATGATGAGACTATACTACCAACATTCTCTGCTAGTTCTTTAACTTTATTTTCAGTAACATTCCCTCTGTCACACCTCTTTTTGCCAGCAATCTCTTTAGCAGGCAGTTTTTCAGGAACAGTTACATTACCAGCTGAATTCATAACACAAGATAGCTCAGAAAATCTTGGCGCAGAAGCTATATCAGATGTCATATTCATCTTGCCTGAGTTAAACTGGGCAGAAATTTTATTTTTCCTGTTGTAAAATTGGTTAACTGGAGATCCACCACAAGGTTTCTCATCAGGAGGTTCCTCAGGATCCTCATCAAGTTCTTCATCTGACTCTTTTACGTCTGATTCTCCTTCATTTGGTTCTTCTTCAACCTGTTCTTCTTCATCTGGTTCTTCTTCACTAGCTTCTTCCAGTTCTTCACAAGCTTCCTCCACATTTGGTACTTCTTCACAAGTTCCTTCTTCTATCATCTCTTCTTCATATGGCTCCTCTTCATAGGTTTCTTCATTTCGTTTCTCAGTGCATGATTTTATACTCAGGCCTCCACACGAATCCGCTTGATTGGGTTCTCCCTGTGCTGAAATGTCTTCACTAAACTATCAAATGAATCTGGATCTACCTCACATGAAGGAACTTCATCTATTTCCTGCTCACATAATTTTTCTTCATCTGCTCTACAAGAATCTTCATATGGCTCTTCACATGAATCTACTTCCTGTGCTTCATCCTCGTCTAAATCTTCCTCAACCTCTTCACCTTCACTTGTCTCTTCCTCAACTTCTTCTTCTTCACTTATGATGTGACTCATTTCTTGTGTTTGGTTTATTTTTAGGAGATGATATGAGATGAGTTATTGGATGAAAATAATATTTTATTGGATAAAGTGAATGAGTTGTTAGATAAAAATAATATTTTATTGGATGTTGTGATGAGTTTTAGGGTGGCACTACAGGCACACCACCAACCACACCTTGGGACACACTCCTCTCTCAGCTACAGTACACGGGACCCATATGAAATTTTTAAAAAATTTCATGTGGGCCCCGTGTACTGTAGCTGAATGAGGAGAGTGTGTCCAAAGGTGTGGTTGGTGGTGTGCCTGTACCATTTTCCTTTTGAATTTTGGTGCTCATATAATGGAAGGGGACCCACAAGAGCTTAACTATTGTAGAAATCGTGGGGGTTTTTTACTGCTGAATGAAAGCAAATTAACTTTTTTACATCATAACCATTTATTATTCGGTGGGTCGTCAATGCAGATATATTAAATATTAAATTTAAAATGAGTCATAATTGTCTAATAATCCACATGATGGTGACTGAACAATTGGAATCTCCATTCCAATTAGGAACGAACTAAAGTAAAGATGATCCTAATCAATTTGTAGGTCTGTGCATAATTTAACTCTTCATTATGGAGAGAGTGTACTTTGATGGTGAGTTCATTCATAATAATGCCTTTAGAAGAGAAAGAGAGGGGACCTCACTCCCACCTTTTTTTTTTTTTTCGAGGAACCTCACTTCATCAGCTCCCTCCTCTTCCTCTCACTCCGGCTAACACATATAATGGAAGGGGGCCCACAAGAGCGTGGACACGTGTAAGGAGATGATTGGGAACGCCACGTCAGCTTGAGGGAGACTGAGGAGCTGCTGTGTTCTCATTCTCTCATTCTCTCACGGGGGACTCACCTCTCCCTTGCGTCGGAGGTACCCTGAGCCAGACAGCATTTGGCACGCGGTATTTGGTGTGTACGTGTTAACAGTGTTCGCTGTGTGTCAGAATTAGCGCAGACGATGCAAAAGAGGGCAAAAGAGAGAGAGAGAGAGAGAGAGAGAGAGAGAGAAGGAAGACTGTGTAAACTGTGAATAATTTTAATTATTAGATCTTTTTATTTTAGCGGCTCAACTTTTGCTGTGTGTTTTTGCTATTGGTAGTTGTTGTTCCTGTAGTTTTTGCAATTATTGCTTCCCCGTCGTCTTTCATCGTCCGTAAAGTTGAGTACCTGATCTTTGTGTGAGTATATAATCTATTAAATGATTAATTTATTAAATGTTTGTAATCGACTAGCTACCATATACTCATATTGTTGGGAATTTATAAAATAATTAAGATTATAGCATGAATTTAAACCCGGAAATTAAATAAATAATACATCAAAGATAGATAATATAAATTAGAGAAACAGGCCTGACGGGAGCAGTCGTGTAAACACTGCCCTAGAAGATTGAGGACCCGCCTATCGCCCTGGCGCAGATGATCCCTTCTCCCCTAGCGGTAAAAACCCCCAGAAACGGCCCGGCCTCTGCACTCGGGCGAGAGTGCAGAGCTTCAGCTCAGATGAAAAAGTTGCCCATAAAGTAAAACTAAAGTATAGATGAAAATGATATGTAGAGGAGAAAAGAAAACAAGATAAGTTTTTCCATATTTTTCTTCATATTTCTTGAGCTCAACATATGTTGTTTATATAGGGGTTGAAAAGA